AGAGAACTCCAAACCATACATGCTGTAAGAATCAAATGATGATAACAGTTCTTTGCAGTTTCTATATGACATTCCAACGGTTAATAAAAATATGCAAAATTTCATTATTAAGTCAATATATCTGGTATATGCCCCAAACATCTTTACTCTGGACCTTTTGCTTTTTCTTTAGCCTTCATATTGTTATCCATAAATCTCAGAAAGCCTCACGGCTAATCCATATATAACTGAATGTGGAAAAATGGGGTTTTAGATCACATATCCACATTTGATAAGCAAGGGAGAATTCGCCACATTTAAATATTTAATAAGAAATGGAGAATGGGCAAAATTTTCTCTATTAATTAGTTGGGAGCAACAATGAAAAGTAAACTCCTATCACCATTAACAAAATTATATTGAAGGTATGACATTTTAGGGATTGATAGGAGTGCTAAAGACTAACAGATTTTCACCATCTTAGATGAAGTATTTATGGTTTGCATTCTAGAGAATCTGCCCGAATTCCAGCCCTAGCTAAAGGCATAAGGGCTGGAGTATGAGCCTCTAACCTGTTACACAAACACTTCTAGAGTTATTGGTCTATCATTTGGAAAGGAAGTAGACAAAGCAAACTGGAATGCAGAAAGGAATTCACTAATTCCCACTACTCTGCTAGCTCAGCGCCTATTTGGGCCAACAAAAAACGCCCATACAATCCTTGGACAGTTCCACCCGCTAGAGTAGAAATCATGGAAGGGATGAGTAAAAGTTCAGCACGAAACGGAGAGATTGAAAGGAAATATACCTGGACGGTGGGCGCCACAGACGGGAACGATGGGAGTTGCTGCCTGGCCGCAGGTATGGGAGTCACTGAGAGAGGAAGGAAATGGGAGGTGTACATAACCGACGATAACAGAGCCAGAGGGAACGGAAGGAGCGATTTGACGGAAATGAAACGATAAAATATGTTTCTTTAATAGAGTACAAATGGCAAAACACACGGTACCACCTCATTATGCGAGCTGATTTCACAAACACCTTTTTAATCCCTAAAATGCCTTAAACTAGACTAGACTGGGTAAGAAACGATTTCCCGTTTGAAGCATTTTTGTTCTGAGCATCTCTTGTTTGTATGATGTACTACTAGTAGTTTTTAGAACGAATGCTAAGAACAAAATGCATCAAGTAGAAGACCCAGAACTACACAGAGTAAGGTAAGTAGGGTCCAATTTTGAAAATCAGTCAAATGGGCCAACCCTACAATTAAGGATGTTTTTATTTGGACTGTAATTTTTCTGGTCGGGTCTGATCTGGTCTGGTCTGATTTGAACTGGTCTGGTAAGGTTTGGTTTCTTTGTATTTTTATAACTATCCAAGTCTAGTCTGAACTGATCTGGTCTGATCGGGACTGATCTGGTCTGGTCTGGGATAAAATTAGAGTCGAAGTAAAAACATCCTAACAAATCAATGTGAGTGCTAAGAGAGAAAAAATTGTATTCATTCATCAAATTCATCAAATCATCATCATCACCTCACTGTCACACAAAGACTCCTAGGCAAACTCATGGATGGTGGGGAATGAATCTCCAAACGTGGAAGTTCAAGAATACAAGACAAAAATGTGACTAACCCTAGTGTAAGTGAATCATAGCCTAGAAAAGTAGTGCTTTAGGGGTGTTTTAGGAGTGGAAGCTAGTATTGGAGCATTTTGGTGAAAGTGCAAAAGTAATTTTGGATGCTCCAAATTGCTCTTAGGAGTAGTTTTTTAGAAGTCGGGGCCGAGGGACATCAACTTCTCTAAAATTGATTCTGATTTTGTTTTTGTTTATAAAAAACAAAATCATAATCAGTTCCAAACAATCCCTTAAATTGTTATTGGTTCAACGTAGAAGAGTGGAGGGAGCATATGGACATTTTACATTTGCAGGTCATTTTACAAGTAGATTTCAATATGCGGGGATCAGACATTTATCAGATCAGATTTATTCAAATCGGATGAGAAGATTTCAATCCAAGTAAAAACACATGTAATGGATTTTAAAACTCCTATCAATTTTATGTTTCATTAAACCAGACATCTACTAGACTAGACTAGTTTTGATCATACTAAACTTAAACAAATTAAACAAGACCAATTAGATCACAAAATTTGAGTTCAATTACAAATATTTTAAATTGGGAATGGTCTCAATTAAAAACTAGTAATTTTGCTAAATTTTAAATGTCTTCCATTTTCTTGAATTTTATGGGTTCTCGCATGGTGAATATTGTAAATTTTAAACTTAAAACAACGTTATACATTTTCATCATAGATTCATGGAATTTCTATTAAAATATACAAATCCTCTATCAAGCCTTTGATTTCTATGTTGAGAACTCCCAGTCTCCGGGATTAATCGTGAAAAGTGTTAGTAAGTGTCGAGAAATGACAAAAAATTCTTCCCATATTTCAACTCGACATGCAAAATAAACACTTTTATATTATACGTAGTATATAAATATTATGTATTCTATATTACAGAGTAGACAAATATTCAGGTCCGGCCAGGCCGGACCACTCCCCCCGTCCGGCCTCCTCCATTTGGGGGTCTTCCCAATGGTATTTTTTGCTCAATTTTTTTGTGAAGGTTCCTCATCAAGTCTAGTTCATCCATACCAAATTTCAGCCAAAAATTCAATCAGAAAGGTCGTCAAATGATTTTTGCAAGTTAACTGGTCCGGAAAATATATATATTTTCCGGGAAGGCCCCCAAATGGAGGAGGCCGGACGGGGCTCCGGTCAGGTATACCTGACCGGAAGACTACTACTCTTACAGAGTAATACTACTAGATATCGATCATATAGCCCGTTTGGCCATACTCGAGCTAACTGAATTTTCGCAATTCTGTTAGCCGAATATTTTGAACTTCAGAAGAAAAAAATATTTCTATGTTAGTAATAAAATAAAAAATTGAAAATAACAAAATGGTAACATCGATCAATTTAATCATAAAATTAACTCTAGCATTACTCATTTGTATACTTAGGATGTTTTTACTTGGACTGAAATTTGATGGTCTGGTACGGTCTGATCTGTTTAAGTCTAGTATGGTCTGATCTGGTCTTGCAAATGGTTGGTCTGTGTGTACTTTATAACTAAGAAAGACTGATCTGATTTGGTCTGTTTTAGTTTGATCCGGTCTGGTCTGATCTGTTTAAGTCTGGTTTGATCTAATCTGGAACTCAAAACAGACCAAGTAAAAACATCATTACATAATTATAGAAGAAAAGGTCAATTGAGTACGTCAACTTGTATGAGGTGGAGTAAAGAGTACATTATGTTGCATTTGACATTTGTAAGTACATAAAGTTGGGGGGTTAGTGTTAATCAATGTTCTAAAAGGCGCTAGGCGCTAGTCGGGCGCTAGCCCAACGCCTAGCGCCTAGGCGGCTAGGCGGGCGCCTAGTCGGGGACTAATCGGAGACATATAAATTGCATTTTTTCTAAGTTTTTGCATACATATGATAAGTAATATTGTATTCTTATGTGTATAAAATACATATACACACATACATATATAAATAATAAAATTTAGGTATATATACAAACATATATAGTCTTTATCTTAATTTACAACTTCATTTCTTTATATCCGGGCTAAAGTTAAAGTACTTATATCACTTAGAAAACTAAAATTATAAAGTAAAGTAATGTTCGGTGAAAATTTAGATGACCTAGGTTGCTAATTAGCCGCTCTAGACGGGCAACTAGGCGCCATAGGCGGACGACTAATTCACTTAGACGGTTAACCAATTAGTCGGAGCGCCTAGGCGAAAATCGGGGCGCCCGACCACCGCCTAGCGCCTAGGCGGGGACTAGTCGGATGCCTAGAACGATTTTTAGAACAGAGGTGTTAATTGAGTACACTCAATAGATTAACACGTTAATATGTCTGAGTTGGTTAACATAATGCTGAGTAAGAAGGGGTAATCGATCACGACTATGACGTTGACCTTCAGGAAGTCGACCAAAATAGAAGATTTGACCTTCAAAGGGTTGACATGTGGGAGGCATCGACATGCGAGGGGCGAGGGTACACCGATCAAGGAAAAATTGTCAAGGGGGACTGACGTCGACCAAGGAGAAGTTGACCAAAGGGTTGGGGGCTTGTCTGACCTTCAGGAAATCGACTTATTAGCAGTTGGCTAGCCAATTCAGACGCATTAATGTTTTAATCTAACGAGTGTACTCAATTAACACTAAAAACCCGAGTTTGTGTACTTAAAAATATCAAATGCAATATGATGCACTTGTTATTCTACCTCATACAAGTTGATGTACTCGATTGACACTTTTTCCATAGTTCTATGTATGGAATAAAAAATTAACTATTTGAATAATGTTACTCCTCAACTAATAATTCTAATGAGCTGAAAGTGGGAGTTACATGTTGTAAGAAAAGGGGCACTACCAAATAAGTGCAAATCACCCATTTTATGTAATGTTGGAACTTATATAAAAAGTGCAAATCACCCATTTTATGTAATGTTGGAACTTATATAAAAAGTGCAAATCACCCATTTTATGTAATGTTGGAACTTATATAAAAAGTGCAAATCACCCTTTTTATATGAGGCCCAGTCCGGCCGTCGTCATTTGGTGCGGTTTCTAGTAGAATTTTTTGATGAATTTTTTGAGCATCTTCATCATCACGTCTAGTTTACTCATACCAAATTTCAGCTAAATATTTAGCTGTGAAGGCAGACAAATGATTTTCGGAAACATACTGCACTGTTTAACTGCGCAGTTATCTTCAAAAGTTCATTTGACTATCTTCTCAGTTAAATTTTTAGCCGCAATTTGATATGAGTAAATTAGATATGAATAAGATGCTCAAAAAATTTCAAATTCCAACCGCCCAAATGACAATGACAGGACAAAGTCTCTTTGGCAGTTTCAAAGGCTTATTTGGCAGTTCTCTTAGCAAAAAATGAACCATCCTTATGTATTTTACCATTGTCAATTTACTAGCATTGTTGTAGACCTCAAAACCTGGAATGCCATAGTTGCAAAAACCAGTTTCTGGGTGAGGACTATGGTTGGGTTACTCCGCACAAAAAATTTGGAATTGACTGTTCCAAAGTCAAAGCCCTAGTTAAAACTCAAAGCTTTGGTGAGTAGTCGGAAGTGAAGGGAAAATGACGAAGTTCGTAACCAGCCGGATCTTAGCAGGACCATCGATGATGCTAAGAAGACTGTGTACGGCGGTGGAGGTAAAGGCTGAGACGGAGGCGACACCTGTGGATGATAATGGAAGCAGACATCTTTACAAGAGATTATCGGCGTTGGGTTCAACCAAAGGGAAGGTGTCGGAGGTTCTTAACGAGTACATTAGGGAAGGAAAAAGCCGCGTTGTCCGGAAACAACAACTCCAAAGGTGTATCACAGAGCTCCGCCGATATAGAAAACATCAATGTGCCCTTGAGGTCTGACTCAGTCCTAGCTGCTTTATTTTCCTCTCATTGCACAGTAGATTATAAATTCATAATAACATTGCTTTTGAAGTTTTATGGACTTTACTATTTCTATATGATCCCGGTGGAAACTTCAAACGCTCTTGGAAGGAGATGATAACCACTACCCTGTACTGTTTTATTAGGTGCTTTCAGATTTTCATTTCCTGTCCACTTCCCAGTGAGTGAGGTCTTTCAATTTTAAAATTTTGCTTAGAGTTGGGTTTTCATCCGGACAAAAAAGTGAACAACTTTGTATTTCTGCATCACACTGAGAGGCAAAGAACTCCACCCACATTTCTATATTGTGGCCCTGCTTAGCAATCAGTTGTTTGCATTAGCTGTTAGTGCTTATTTGAAGTTCATTGTATGCAGAAATGTTTGGGTCAGTCCATTAGGTGCTTGAATGTGTAGATAGGGTTTTCAAAAAGCTTCAAAAGTGAGCCTTTTAAAATAGCTTTTTGAGTGACTTTAGCCCTTGTGACAGGCTGATTACCATACATTTTAAATTAATTAATTTACATAGTGCCACAGTTAATTTGGAATGAAAAAGGCATAAAGCCATAAAAAACCCTCCCAGCTAAATTGGTGCCATAGCATGCCTTTGTTTGTGGTAAGTGTATTTTCCCTGTGCTGATGCAGATCATGGAATGGATGGTGAGCAGGGGTATTAACCTTGGGCATTCGGACCGCGCAATACTTTTGGATCTCAGAGCAAAGGTTCAAGGAATTACAGCCGCTGAGAAATATTTCAACGACCTTTCACCTAAAGAGAAGCATTGCTATACGTATGGATCTCTTCTAAATTGCTATTGTGTTAAGAAGATGGAGGACAAAGCATTAGCTTTATTTAAGGAAATGGATGAGATGAACTATGTTTCAAATTCATTGCCTTTTAACAATCTTATGTGCTTGTATATGAGACTCGAGAAACCGGAAAAGGTGCCTCCTCTGGCAGAGGAAATGAAGAGAAGAAATATAAAACTAAGCACATTTACTTACAATATTTTGATGACTAGCTATATCTCTTCCAATGACATAATGGGAGTAGAAAGAGCTTTTGAAGAGATTAAGAGGGAAAACGAAAAAGCGTGTGACTGGACAACTTACAGTCATTTGGCATGTGCCTACTCCAAACTTGGATTTAATGAGAAGGCTGAGCTAGCACTCAAAATGCTGGAGGAAGAGATCAGGGGGGCACCTAACCGTGAAGGGTACCACTTTTTGATCAGCTTGTATGGAGGAATGTCTAATCTAGTTGAGGTGCACCGTGTTTGGAATGCTCTGAAGTCCAAGTTTCAGGTAACAACCAATTATAGTTATCTTATCATGCTTCAAGCTCTAAATAAGCTGAATGACATGGATGGATTAAAGAAAGTGTTTACAGAATGGCAATCAAGCTGCTCTAATTTTGACATGAGACTAGCAAATGCTGTCATTAGTGCTTATCTAAGGCATGACATGGTAGCAGAAGCTGAAAAGGTTCTTCTTATTGGGATGGAGAGATCAAAGGGACCATTCTTCTTTGCATGGGAAATGTTTTCAGTTTTCTTTCTGACGAAGGAGAAAAATATCAGTCGTGCTTTGCAGTGCATTGATGAGGCAATATCCTTGGTCAAGGACAAAGAATGGTCTCCAAAATCTGACAGCATAAATGCATTTCTCAATTATTTTGAAGAAGAGAGTGATGTTGATGGTGCTGAAAGGTTCTGCAGTAGTTTGAAGAAGCTAAGTTGTCTCAAAGGTGATGTGTACAAATCATTGATGCAGACTTACATTGCTGCTGGTAGAATATCACATGATATGCGCCAGAGAATGGAGGAAGATGGGATTGAGATTAGTGATGAGCTTAAAATTTTACTGAAAAAGTTGAGCCCTGAATGACGTTAGGAGTAGTAGCATATTGTCACACCTTCATGGCTTTGTATGTGCTGTTATTAGCATTTGTTCGTTTCACACTTTTTTTTTTGGCTTTTTGTTCGTTTCACACTTGAAAACCAAGATTGTTTATAAAACCTTAATGTACTTTTCCCCCTCGAGTTACTTACACTTGGGGTTTGGCCATCCATCATATATTCATATGCATTTAAAGGTTTTTGTGTAGTTTTGTTTTGATGATACTTTTGGATTTCAAAATGCACTTAAACAACCGTCAATAGACTCAACAATGAAAACAAAAAATTTCCAAGTCACATGTTTAGGCATGGACCGGTCCTGGGCGGGCTTTTTGGGTTTGGCTTCGGGCCCGGGTTTCCACCGGGTCCGGGGCTCCGGGCCGGTCCCCGGGCTTCTTCAATTTTTTTTTTGCTTTTCTACTTAGTTTGAAGAAGCTAAGTTGTCTCAAAGGTGATGTGTACAAATCATTGATGCAGACTTACATTGCTGCTGGTAGAATATCACATGATATGCGCCAGAGAATGGAGGAAGATGGGATTGAGATTAGTGATGAGCTTAAAATTTTACTAAAAAAGGTGAGTCCCGAATGACGTTAGGAGTAGCATATTTTCACACCTTTATGGCTTTGTTGTGCTGTGTACTAGCATTTGTTCGTTTCACACTTGAAAACCAAGATTGTTGTAAAACCTTAATGTATTTTTTTCCCTCGAGGTACTTACTCTTGGGGTTTAGTCATCCATTATATAATTATATGCTTTTAAAGGTTTTTGTGTGGTTTTGTTTTGATGATACTTTTGATTTCAAAATGCCCTTCAACAACCGTCAACAATGAAAAAAAAAAATCCAAGTCACATGTTTCGTTATCATGATTTCACTTTTATGTTTTGTGAAATATAAAAAATAAAAATTTCAGTCACATAAAGTTTATAAATTTGTATAAATCAATTGAAGTTGGTCATGAGATTTTATAGGGAGAATTTCACCGTACATCCCATGTTTGGAGTAATATTGGACTTTGCACCTATTTTGAAGATCAACAATGTATGCTCCTTTTATTGTGAAAAAGTGGTGCAAAGTCAAATGTTTCTCAGCGATTTGGGGTGCATGTATGAATGATTTTGAAACAAAAGGTACAAAGTCAAATTCACCTAAAAATTGAATTTATTTAATTATCTGGCTCTTATTTTTATTTTTCAGTTAGAACTGGATGTTGCTTTGGTTGTTTTCTTTATTTCCACTAGCAAAACTCTAGAGTTTAGGTTGAGTGATAAAATGTCTATTGCGTCCGTCATTTGTTTAGTTAAGCTCATTATAGGATTAACAATTCATATTGCTTTTTTGAGCCGATAAACTTTGAGTCTGGTTTGAGCAAACGGTCGGAAAGAGACTTTTTGTCTTTTATATCTTGCCTGAATTCTGATTATTCGATATAAGTCATCTTCTTCCAAGAAAAACTAAAAAAAGTTCTATAAGTATACAAGTATGCATTATGCAACAGACTGAACGAGCGAACCAACCTCTATTCAAGTAAAGTAGACACAAAAAACACAAAACAAAACAAAACCCAAACCGAAGTATGTGTTACTACTTAAGTGTGAGCAGACCCGATAACAGCGGGTGCATGAAACGACGGGTGCATGAAACATTGAATGTTTGAATGAAAACAGAAAACAACCAAAGAAAAATACAAATAAAAATCCAACCCTAAGTTGGCTAAGTATAAGTAAAAGACTACCCTTACTAAAAAAATTGAGTTCCAAGAAGTCATGAGAAATTTTATTCTTAGAAGTCGTCTATTTTTTTATAAGGAAAAGGATAAATAATATTGTAGCCCAACATTTCAGCTATCAGTGATAGAAACACTATAACACATACTAAAATGTCAATGTTTTGGTACGCAAAAACTAAAACAAATAATGAACCACAAAAAGAGTCGTTCAAGGGTAAACAGTACTTTAGAAGTCCTTTCCTTTAAAGGTCTTGCACACTCAAGCATGGAGGGAGAGATTGGTTCAACTTTTCAACTTTCTCTGAATCAAACACACACAGGGTGTAAAGATACTTGAAACAACGAACCTTGAATTTGACTACATCCTTTCCTCTCTTGATCTTCACTGATCTAGCATCTTTCCTTCTAGCAGTAAGAAGGAAATCTTTGATTTCGTGAATTTACTTCCACATTTTCTCCCTTTTTCCAAACCCAGCTGCTCAACAAATTCAAGAGCCTTATAAGTCATCTAATAACTACATCTTTAATAATTCTATGAGGAAAAGTAATGCACATTAGGAAAAATATTTTGCATCCTTTTATTATTTTTGTCTATTTAGTATTTCATTGGCATTATATTAGCTGTTCCTTTGAAGAAGTTCTTCATATTTTGGCTCCCTTCGCATTTTGAATACAAGTAATTTTTTACTTTAATTTTCATATTTTTTATAAGGGAAAACTATCAATTTGGTCCTCATAGTTTCATGAAAAAGTCAATTAGGTCCTCATACTTTTAAAAAAATCAATCAAATCCCTGAACTTTGTAAAAACACTCAATCGAGTACATTTGTAGGTTACTTGTCATGTCAGCAGGTCACCCGCTAATGTGGCGTACACATGGCGGTACATGTGTGCACCACGTCATCGGCAAATGGCTTACTGGACTTCCACATGTATGCCACACTGCCACATCATCAAACTTATTGCTGATTGTGCTGCCACATGTGCGCCACGTCAGCAAGTAACTTGCTGACATGACAAGTAACCTGCAAATGGACTCAATTGAACGTTTTTATAAAGTTCAGTTATTTGATTGATTTTCTTAAAAATATGAGGACCTAATTGACTTTTTCATGAAAGTATGAGAACCAAAATGACAATTTTCCCTTTCTATAACTACAATACCTTCTTTACTTATTTATCATTTGCATTTTCCATATCCTTTATTTGCTCAAGTTAGTTTAAAAATGTATAGGCACATGTAGTATTCTACCAGTGTTCTAAAAGGCGCTAGGCGCTAGGCGGGCGCCAGCCTAGCACCTAGCGCCTAGGCGGGCGCCTAGGCGACTAGGCAGGCGCCTAGTCGGGACTAGTCGAAGATAAAGAAATTACATTTTTATCTATATTTTTGCATAGATATGATAAGTAATATCGTATTTTTGTGAGTATAAACTACATATATATATACATTAACAAACATGAATGATATAATGATTACATTTAATCATATGTAGTATATGATAACAGATAACTAATCACTTAACTTCATTATGTTATAAATATAAATAATGATGAAATTTAGGCATATATAGAAACATATCTTAATTTACAATTTCATTTCATTATATCCATGACTAAAGCTAAAGTACGTATATCGCTTAGAAAATTTAAATTAAAAAATAAAGTAATGTGTGGCAAATCTAGACGGCATAGGCGGCCGATTAGGCGCTCTAGGCGGGCAAATAGGCGGCCGACTAATTCACCTAGACGACAAACCTATTAGTCGGAGCGCCTAGACAAAAATCGGGGCGCCCGACCACCGCCTAGCGCCTAGGCGGGGACTAGTCGAACGACTAGAACGATTTTTAGAACATAGATTCTACCAAGGGAATAATCAACGAGTTTAATATGAATACTTCAAATATGCATTGTAGTTGCACTCATGTTTTTATTATTTTCATTGCCTGTTTGATAATTATGTTTTTCGATTTATTAGATTTATTGGTCAACATTTTCATCAAATACATAACTTTTGGATTCGCACGTTGAATTGTGTAATAACAATAAAAATTAAGATTGAATTTACTTTTCTGGTTATATTGGCTAAATTTACTACAAAAGATAAATTTTAGTTGTTTTTCATATATTTTTCTTTTTTATTTTAATAAAATATTAATAAAATATATTAATAAAATATATTTTGAATATAATTTTATTAATCTAACTAGAACTTTATAAATTTATAAATTTATAACTTTATAAATTTCCGTATAATAAGTCTATACATCCAACTTGGGGTACTAACAACGGAGCTCCTATATTGTACATACATCCGATTTTTAAAAACTGGTTAACTCTTTGCTTAGTATCAAACCCGGATTCCTTCATTAAAAAAATAAAATGCAAGGGAGATTCAATCCCTAGACCTGAAACTCAATATATAGCCTTCCGACCATCTCGCCAACTTGCCTTCATGACATAATTTGTTCTTTTATCTTACTTATCCTACGTATTTCATACTCCATACTACAATTGTTTATTAATAGTAATTATAATATTAACTATTCTTTGCTTTTGCTCATTATTACCATATTTAAAGACTAATTCATATTTTTGAAGTACTTATTTGATCTAGGAATCATACTATTAATTTATATAAATATATTTATAGTTTTATTATATATTGGTAGGTTCCTAATAAGTCTGATGTTCATCGAAAGTGTTGTAATGCTCATAATAGCTCTGATGCACATTAAAATCCATTAATTCTCATTTAATTAAAACAACCTATTTTTTCGGTGGCAGTTTTGTAATTTAAGCGAAAAATCATGGCTCCCGCTAAATGAGTAATAATGTAGTTTTGTTGAGCATCTCACATATTGTATTGAGTATTATGAGGCTAATAATGAGTATCATGATCTCTGCTTCATATCTTCTAATTCTTTTTCTTACTTTTTCCTTTCATAAAAACTTATTAAATTATAGCTATGATCCACTACTATTAATTTAAATATGCGAGTCTAATGTAATTTGATACTTTTGAAATATGCATTGATATGACATCTATAATAATATAAAGGAATAAGGTTTGGAACCTCAAAATCCCGCCCAAACCAAAAAAGTGCTATTTTTGGAGACTATCTAGATACTAAATGTAATGTAACATTAAATGCAATACATGCTTAAATTTAAATCTTTGTAAGAGTAACCCGTTATGTTATATATAGTAAGTAATACATGTACACGTTATTCTTTGGAACCTAAGAGCATCTCCAATGCTACAATGTGCACGGTGCACATGTGGCATGAGAGAGATAGACACAAAATATTAATTTTATGACATTTCTCTCTCCTTCTTTCCACGGTCTTATGCATTTTTGGTAAGTTTGTGTCTGCAATGTCAACCACAATGTCTACATCTAGACATTGTGCTTGACATTGTGAAGAAAAACTTACCAAAATGATGTAAGATCCTTTAAATAAGGAGA